AGTTGTCTAAGAACTGTGCAGCTACTGCAGCACAAAAGAGGCCGAGTGACAGCTACTTGTTGGAGGAGAATGACAGTTTGAATTGGCTTCCAACAGCCACAGGATGTGGGCACCCTCGGTCAGCACAGGTGGAACTGGTGCTTCTCTCTCTCTCCTAGCTATGCCTTGTCTTCCTCAGGAGAGAAAGGCTCTGCTGTGGATCTGGAACGTTCTCCAAAGCTCCTGTGCTGACGGTAACCTGTAAGCGTGACTTAATTGTGAAGGTTATGGCCTCAGCAGAGGGTGCTCCATTGATAGAGCTATAGTTTGATGGGCTTCCTGGAGGGCTGGGTCAGAACAGTGAACTTCCACTTTGCTTCCCAGATATCCTGAGTTGAATAGTTTTATTTTCCATGTGCTCCCCGCCACAATGTTCCTGCCTTGTCTCAGGCAAAGAGAGATGGAACAAAGGGAACTTGGGTTGAAACCTCAGGAACTGTGATCCTTTCCTCTTTATAAGCTGATCATCTCAGGTATCTTGTCATAGTGATGGAAAGCTGCCCACCATATACTACATTACACTGCTAGGGTCTCATTGGTACTCTCATTGAGGGAAGAAGAAGCTCGTTCTCTATAGAGGACATTGAGCTTGAGACCCAGTGGCTCTGAGCCCCCAGACCTGAGTTCAGACTCCAATCTGCTTCTTATTCTTAACTGTGACTTAGTCTCACTGAGGCTCATTTCTTAGTTGCTATCAATTATGTCTCTCCTGAGGGGATGCTGTGACTTTTGGAAGCAGCTAGAGAATCTCCACTACTCAAAGTGCATCCAGGTCAGATCCCTGAGAGCTTGGTAGAAAATTCAGATTCCTAGGCTATAGCCCAGGCTTCACTAGAATCTTCAGCAGCGTTTCTAGGTGACTGGTATATAATGTCTGGAGAGTGCGCTTCTAAGGAATCTCTCTGAAGAATGAATTTAAATCTTGGGATTCATCCTACAGATCCATATGCAGACTTCCGGGGACAAAAGAATTCTCAGTGTTTCACATTCAGGTGGGCAAACTTCTGTTGACCCTCCATATCTTGTCCTGGGTCACGCATTTCCTGATCTCTTCAGGGAGCTGGTCAGCCTCTATTCTTTACTTCTGCATTGCGTACAAACTTCTAATGTTGCACTTATCACCGTGCTCCACAAGCACCTTGGACACAGGTCAGGCTTAATTCAGAGCCCCAGCACAGAGGATGGTGGTGACGGCAGCAGCACAGATGATGACAGTGTCAGCTCCCACCTCCTGGGCCTGACTACAGGACTGGAGATTGGGTTTTCAGTCACGCTAGACCACCAGCACCAGCTGGGCTTGGTGCAGTTAGGTGGTGGAGCTGCACTGGTAGGAAGACACCTCCCTTTTCTTTGAGTCTCGCATGCTTCTGGGAGAAGGTGTCTCACTTTTTCCAGAAGCTTGTGATCTGTGTTCCAGTTTAGCTGAGTACTTGTTCCTTGATGAGAGGGACATTCAGTACTGGCTTTGAAGGGTTCCTGAGGGTGGCAGCCAGTGCAATCTGAGCACCTTTCATCAATCACCCCTTTCCCACACGGGCCATTCCCTCTGCTCCCCTCCTTTGTAAACAACCTGGGGTCCTTTGGGCCACCTACCCTATGTGAAAGCCATGTTGGAGTAAAACCATCCCGATGCAGGTAAAGTTCAGCTTGCTTGCTTCCTTTTATTTTTCCTGGTCTTTGCCGAGTTTGAACTCACTTTGTAGCCCAGGCTGGTCTGAACTCACAACAATCCTGTCTCAGCCTCCCAAGTGCTGGGATTATGGGTGTGCATCACAACGCTCAGTTTAAAACCAGCTTTCTATGCTCACGCAACACTAGAAGCAAGTACAACGCAGGTGTTTCCTTCAGCCCTCAAACACATTTTTTCTTGCCTTTGATTTCTCACTGTTTCTTATCTGTGCGCCTGATGGAAGTCAGGCCAGCAAATCTCTGCTCCAAGTGAGGGTCATTTCCTCCCCTGGGAGCTTTAGATCAGAGAAGTCCCTCACAGATGTGGGGTGCTGGAGAGCAGTGGATACCCCGAGGACCCTGGAGTGACGTCTGTGTCCCTGGTGCCGAGTCTGTGGCAAGCATGCTGCGTGGGCACGCAGAGCCCTGGCTGGCAGCACACAGGCCAGGCAGCCGCAGCACCGCCCCAGAAGGCAGCATCGATACTGAGGTTTAGCTGTGGTGTTGGTGCCTTGCGATAAACGAGGGGGCTTGAGGTTGTAGTTTGGGTGCTTGGTCTCTGACAGGTTTGCTAATCTATGTTGTTTTCACATCATTGATTCATTTGTCCAGCGCTCCTTAGAAGTTCCCATTCACTCGTTGCTATTTCATTCTTCAGGTGTTCTTTAAACAATTCTAGCGCTGTTGACAGAGCCGGTCTTGACAGGGAGCGGACTCCTCTCCTCCTGAGGGGGACTTGGTGGTCCTCAAACTGCAGATGTGCTGGTACCACCTGGGGGCTTGTTGCATGAAGGCTTCAAGGGGCTTCTGGGGCTTCCAACTCAGGTGATTTGGGTTGCGGGTCCCAGCACTGCTGGTCCAGGATTTCTACAGGACCTCTAGTGAAAGCAATCATAAGACAGTAACAAGTGTGTTAATCCAGCCCTGCCTGTCAGCTCCGAGAAGCTCCGTGCAGGGAGGGTGTGCTGAGTGACTAGAAATTCACTGGGAGAAGCAGAAAGAAGGGGTCCCTGCAGGAGAGGATGGCTGCGTAAAGGGCCAGAGGCGTGAGATCACATGGTTGTTGAACTAGATTTGGGCTTAGCTGACTGAAAATGAAAAGCAAATCAGTGATTTGAATTAAAAGAAAGCTTCCTTTTCTTTCATATAGAAGTCCAAAAGCAAATGGCTCAGGCCCACTAGAAGCTCTTTATCTCTCTGCTTTGTCATTCTTGGCATGTGATTTCCATCCTCAAAGTGACAAGATGGCTGCTGTAGCTCCAGCCAGGATATCTATATTTTAGGCAGAGTAAAAGGGAAGGGCCAGAAGCAGAAGGCCCTTCCTTCAAGCTGACTCAGTGCCACAGAGTTAGCCTTCACAGAAGCCTCAGCCAGTGACTTCTGCCTAGATTTAAGAGAGGTGGCAAAATAGTCTTTTATTGGATCAAAATTTCAGCCCTGAATAAATCCCTGGGTTGCTAATTAAGGCAGGAGAGGAGAACAGATATTGGGTAGACTGCCACAGTAGCTTTGGAGGAACACGAGGTTCTTGGCATTGCCAGAGAGCACATGGTCGGAGGAACTCAGTGCCTACTGGTAGGAAGCACAGTGCAGGGCCCGGGAAGCCACAGCCAGCTCCCTGTGATGGAAGCGGGGACCACGCCTCAGATGTGCGCCTGCGGGGCCTGGGCACGCGGAAGGTCCCCCTTCTCTCACAGCCTGCTCGCTTTTCTCTCCTTCCTCTTTTACCTTACTCTCTGCCTTCCTTCACCTCCTGCCCCTCTCCCTGCAGGAAGCGCAGGATTGGGGTGCCCAGGAAGACAAGGGGGAGGCTTTCTGGGAAGAGGCAGGTAGAGGGGTGGGGAGGAGCTGCTCTCTTGGGAGCTCGCTGGAGAACCCAGGTAGTGATGGGGAGCGAGTTCCCACGGGGAGCCGGGCGGGGGGACCACAGGAGGAGACATCAGCTGCTCTGAGCAATGGCTTAGCATGGTGACTGGAGACCTGGGGAAGGTCTCCCTCCCTAACTGCTCACAGAAAACCCACACCGCATGGGTGGTGATTCTACAGAGAACTTTGTTCCTGGCATCTCTCTTGCCCTCTGTGTGAAATCCCACAGGAGCCATTGCTGCACTTGGAGCTCAAGAAAAGCCACCTTCCTTCAAGAGTTCACAGCTTCCTTTTCCAAGCAACTCATGTGACTCCCTTTTATGTCATAGCTTCCAGGACATGGAGACAAACCGCTGGACTCTGCAACTTCCTTGGTGCAATTCTCATTTTTCATGAGTGTCTTAATTGCTCCATTCAAGTGTGTTTCTGCCTGAGGATCATGACGGGGAACACAGTCATGTGAAAAAGGCAAGACGAGACATATATGTGGCATTGGGGGCGGGTGGGTACCCCAAATGAACTCTGCCTTCATACCCATGAGGAGGTGCCATGAGTGGGGTGAGCATGTAGTTGACCACGGCAGTTTCACAGGGGAAATGATGCCAGGTGGCTGGGCACGTCCAGGTGTGTGTGTGCCAGCTGGGAAGCAGATTTGCTAGAGTGCTTTCGTTTCTGTCCTTGGTGTTGAATGCCTTGGGCTTCCCTGAAACACACAGTTGGCCAATACTTCTTGGCTCAGCTATTACCTTGGGACCAAGATGGAGACTTGCAGTCACGTAGGCTAGTTGTTTCTGGAATTCTTTGGATTTCTACCACTTGTTCTGTGTATAGAACTGTACTCTTTAAAATGAAGATGACTTGCTTTCTAAAGTAGTGCAAACATTGCTTTGATGATAGACACGATCTCTATGTCACCCTTTGTTGTAGTCAGTAGTTGTGCAAAGAAAAATTAGAATCAGGACACAGAATTTATAATATTGTTTTATGATGGTCATCCAGAGTTAATGCAGGAAAGTTCAGGAAATCTATCCACAACATTAAAGATGCAGAATATTCAGCCAAGGACCTGGATCCTACAGCAACGTCCCACATAAGTCTGGATGAAGATCTAGAGCCCATAACAATGCCTCCCTTGAGTCCAGCTGGAGGGCTAGAGTCCACAAGAAGGACTCACACCAGTCTGTTTTATGGATCAGTGCTGGGAAGCTACAAAGTCTATGCCAGCAGGATGAAGGAGCTGTGCTGGTAGGTTGAGGTTTGTACACCAGAGCAGAGAAGTCACGCACAAAACAAAGACCAAGGCTACCCTGAGAAGCACCACAGCCATCCTTAGCGACATGGTGGTCCCGAGCTCCTCCAACGATAAGAACAGTTGAGTACAGATATTATAAATTCTGTATCTTACTCTGGTTGGAAGTTTCATGATCTTTCGACTTACTTGCCTCATTCTCACTCAGAGAGTGACCAGCTCTGCCACCCCCACACATCTCTCCTGTTTCACTTTGTTTCCCTCTGCCTGCTCATTAATCAACCAACAACCAACCAACCAACCACCCGCCCAGCCGTGTAATGATTTTGGTGTATCTTTGTTTCAGCTTCTTTTACATTTCAGCTCACTATCCACTGCTAAGAACTACAAAGACATGGCTAAGAAGACAAAGACAGCTTAATGTCCTTTGAAGATTGTTTTTAATTAAAAGTTTTCCCTTGCTTGTAGTAAGACTTAGCTTAAAACACAAGCTAAGACACAACACAAGCAATGCTGTAGATGAAAGGAATTTTCAGGCCCGTCATACTCCACGAGACCACTGTCATGGTCTGTCATTGGCTTCAGTTATTCCTCCTGCAGTGCATGACTGAATCCTTCACTCTGGTGAGTTATTTCTAGGACTCTGGAAGCTCAAAGGAAAAGTCTGTGGTCATCTGCCTTCATTATCCACCTCTGGGTTCTGCCTCCCACTATTTGCCTGCTGTCTTTTCTGTCCAGAAGCTTTTTTGCTGCCAGTCCCCAGTAACTCACATATCTAATGATGCACGCCAACCTAACAGCCTGATAAGCTCAAGTGACTCAGCAGCTAATCCAATAGTAAGTGCATGTGTTTGTGCAGAGAAGTGGATCTTGTCATTGCCATCTGAGATTTCAAATAATGGATGTTATGGCCTTGTTTCTGCTTCTCTGTGTCTCACCTCCAGCTGGTCACTTTGTCTTACTTTCTTTAATGGTTCAGAAGAGTCAAATGACCCCAGATGTAGGTGTCTGAACTGCTGTGCTATATGACATGGTGGTTCTCCAGTGGATGCCAGAGCAGGTGTATCTCTTTGTAGGAGTGAGAGATAGATTCCTGCAGAGTCTGTCCAATCACAGGTGTGGATATGAATTTGTCATTTTAGTCCAATGTCTGGAGACTAATCTACCTCATGCCAAGAGAAAATGATAAGAGGGGAGGCTACAAGAAAAAAGGGTTTTCCAAGGGCCAGGGGTTTAGCTCAGCGGCGTTAAGTGCCTTCTTGGCAAACACAAGGTCGCGAGTTCGATCCCTGGCACAAAACAAAAACAAAAACAAAACAAGGGTTTTCCAAAGTGTGTTCTATAGCGCAATGACCATCTGGGATTCTGTTTCAAAGGAAGTTCCAAAGTGAACCAACTTTGGGAAACACTGCATAATCTATCACCTTCTTGGATATTTACAGTGAACATTAAGAGATTGAGGGCTCCAAGAAGGTCCCCCTGCCTAATGGAGAATCCTGCTTATTAATCTTTCTCCATTTTTTTCCTTGTACTGGGGATCGAACTCATGACCTCATGCTTGCCAGCTAAGACACTGCTGAACTAAGCCCCCAGGATATTAAGCCTTTTCTAAAGTATATTTGGCCACTCAACCCTTTGATAGGGTGTCATGCAATGCCATTATTAGGGAATACTGAACTACAGTGAACTCAAAGTCTTCCAGAGTAAGCAGAGTTCTTTAGAGACTCCATCTGAGATGGTGACTCTCATTTGTGGCTTCCTTTACTTCTGGCTCACCAGGGGCTCTGAGTATTCCCAGCAGCAGTATGTGAGTCCTGAAGTCCACCTGTCTGGCAGTCACATGGGATCCTTCCTGCCATCAGTGTGAGTCATTTGGGTCCAGATTGGTGCATGAGTGACAGACATGAGTCACAGGCATACGGGAACCTTATTCATCCCTACCTTCCTTTGGTCCCTAATCCTTTGTAATGCCCTAGATCCATGATGTCACTTTAGAAGAATTAAACTTGGACAGCAAAGTGATGTAATTAGTTTAACTCAGTTTCAATTAAAGTCTTCTGCTAGTGTAACATCTGACCGTGTCAGTTTCACAGGGGAGATGGCAGCAGGTGGCTGGGCACATCCAGCTGGAGAGATTTGCTCAATGTCTTTCCTTTGGGTTTTATTCCCATCCCTGGTGTTGAACACTTGGGACTCTCCTGAAACATACACTTTATCAACATCTCCTGGCTCAGCTATTAGTGCAGGAGCAGGACGGCCATTGCTGGTAGCAGGGCTACTCTGTATAGGTCTCCACAGCCTGTCCATTAATCAAGTTGCCTGGTAAGGCCCCCAACTTATCTGAGTTCCTTTCTCATCTATCAGATGGGGATCAGTTTAGCATTTCTTCCTAGACGGTAGTATGAGAAAGATAATAAATAATGTTCAAAAGCTGTCCAATTACATGGCAGGAGAGCGACATTCTGAAGGGCTGGGCATTTGGGCCCAACTTCAGATTAGGTTGACAGAAGAGACAGAACCATATCCCAAGGGGAAGAGGCTGTGTGGGGCCCTGTGCTGGGAACCACAAAACCAGTGGTGAGCCGGTAAGATCAGTGGGTTCATCCTCCCGACATGCCCGCTCCTTACCATCATTCACTTGTTATGGATGGTTGACCTCCTTTACCAAGAGCAGATAGATAGATAGAGAGACAGACAGACAGACAGACAGAACTAGAGGCAAACAATGAAAAGCAGAAAAAAAGACAATGATAAAGATAACAGAGCAAGAACCAAAATGGTAGGGTAACTATCAGAATTCTTAACTGAGGACTGGAGAAGCAATTAGCAGTCACAACTGAACGCCACATGAAAGGCTACTCTTCGGAGTCTTCCAGAATGGGCATTTGTGGCACTTTTGGCGCCTACCATCTGAAGCCTCTTTTCCCCTGGAAATTCTCTACTCCACGGGTCCTGCCTTTATGGGATCCCAAGTGGCTGATGCCTCTATTGGTCTCTCTTTGCCTCAGGAGAAGAAACACCCAGTAGGCACGTTAAGCCCAAACTGGGCTTGGGGTGGTGTATGAGGAGCACCCTCCGGGATGGGCCGTGGTCAGATCATAGTCATGGGCACCAGTGGCAGTGACAAACAGGTGACAATGCTGGCGGGGCTGGTGGCTGAAGCTGGGCTGCACTGGCTGTGCACTGTTTGCCTTAGAACCAAGGCATCAATCTATCTAATCAATACACATTATGTTTCCCCTCCACCGTTTACTATTCACTTGAAAATATGCATGTCTGCAATGAAATTGAAAGAATAGCACAATGAATATCTATAAGGTCTGATCAAATTATACAGTGAATATTCAAATTTAAAAAATTATTGTGATAAGAGACACATTGTCATTGATTCCCCTTAAAAGCTTCCCTTTCCCAATGGAAACCATTGCTCTTGCCAGCACAGTTCTGGGACTCCTCTTTCCTGAGCATCTCTATGGGTTGTGGCCAATAATACGATGAACTTTGCTATCCAATGGAAAGGCAGGCTTGTAAAAATGTTGCAGTGTGTCCTCATTCACCTTGCTCACTGGATGTGGTGCCACGCAACTTCTGGGTCTTCCTCAATGTCAGAATGACCAAGAAAGGTCAATGTTTGGAATCACTGTAGGACATCAAGGTAGCTATGACAGTGCAACTAAAGAGACTTACTAAAGACGACTCGCAGGACTGCTTCAGAAAGATAACAGCCATGAGTGTGTTTGATGCAAGGAGGAGCATTTTGAGAGTAATCAATGATATCTTTCACTGTGATAAACTCTTGGTATTTAGACATTAACTGTACTTTTCATCTCATTTCATATATACTTTTATTGACACTGAAAAATGTACTAACATCTTTCTGTATTTGTGCTTGCTTCTCCCTCCTCCATATTTGCTGACCCATTTGAAATTAAGTTGCCTGCATCATGAACTTTTCCCTTTTGTAGGAAAAACGACAGTCTCCATCTCTAGAATTCCATTATTACCTGAAGAAAATGGACTATTCCATGTAATCTAACATCTAATACTTATTCAAATTTCCACAGATCATCAAAATGTTTTATATCTTTAAGTCTAGAATAACCCCTCTTCTTCCCAGACATTATCTATGTTTGATGGGCTTTTAAAATATTTTCTATTTTAGAAAAATTTAAATAAATTTCTTTCTTCTAACGCAACTTGAGTCTCTCCCTGTCACTTGCAATTCTAGGCTGGTACATAGCTCTGCTTATTGAAGGTATACTTACTTCCACGAGCCCAGGAAGATGGTCCTTCCTTCACCTTGAAGGGAATACAGTGACAGTGACATGGGGCTCTTCAGTGAGACTGCCTGGGTTGGAATAGAACTCCATCGCCAACCAGCTGGGTCAGGACAAGTTGCTTAGCCATCATGGGATCCACTTCCTGCATTATGGAACTGGGTAATAACGTTAGTCTCTGTGGCACAGAATGGCTGCTGAGAGCATCACTGAAGTCCAGATACACCCTGGCTGTGGGGTAAGGGTTTGCTTCAGTAGAGCAATCTCTTCCTGGTACCTTCTTCCATTTCCTTGCTCCCTAGTTCACTTGTTCCCTTGGAATGAGGTTGCAACAGAAAACATGACTCCATGATCCACTTGCCATGGGAGACCATTGGAACCAGCTGTCTCCTCTGTAAATGGAGCTTTAGAGCTTTTATGAAGAAAGAAAAGCTAGTTCTGCCAAGGAAACTTAGAAATCACTTGCCCAGCCTTTCAACATATCAGTGGCTTTCATGCTCTTACATCAGACATTGTCCATGTCACCTGTTTTCTGCACAGTGGCCGTGGGAGGTGGACATGATTATCACCGTGCTATATATGTGGAAACAGACTCGGAGGCAAAGTTCCTTCCTCAAGTTCACGCAATCAATAACGAGCAACCCTGCAGTTAAAATTTCAATCTGGCTGCAAACAAAAGCTCTTTCCAGTAAACCAGGCTGCCCTGGGAATTGGTGGGTTCCAGCATATTTAGCTAGTTGCCTCCCAAATCATCTATTAAGGAGCATTAATACAGAAGGGTCTTTTCTCCATAGATAGAGAAGCTGGAATTCAACCAGCTGTTATTGTGGCAACATCTGTTTTCCTTTCAGAAAGTGTGTGTCTCAAGGAAACATTTAATTGGCTTCTTCAGCTTTATCATCTCAAATCCTTCTGAAAGTCATACTGAATAGTAATACTGTCTACCGCATATCTGGTCAGTCTTTTTCAAATCTGTTAAAGTCATCAGAAGTAAGGGGAGTCTAGGAGACTAGTAGTACCAAAGGAAGAATGACCTCTAAATGTGATCAGGTTTTCTGAATTAGATTCAGGAGCAAGAAAAGGACTTTTAGGAGAAGGAAAAAAGCCTATTAAGCAATACTGTGGGATCACTGCTGCCTGATGATCTGAGCATCTCAAATGCACACCTGGGCTTGCATAGAGATGTCTGATTAAGAAGAGAAGTAGAGTTTTTACCCTTTGTGCAGCGAAATCTGCAGACTATTCATGACACCTGATTCAACAGGAAGCAGAATGGCCCAGCTGTAGGACTCCTTAGAGATCTTCTCTTCATATTCACTTGGCCTCCTGCTGTGGACCTGGACCTGCAGATTTCATCCTTGAAAATGACTTTCTTTTTGACCTGGTATTTTCTGCAAGGAAAATGACAAACAAACAAAAAATTCCTGCAACTATTATTGTTCCCTTCTTTTAAAATGATGTTTGAGTAATTTGTAAGTTCATACATAATAAGATTGTTACAAGGTAGGAAGTTGTAAGTGACAGAGGAATTCAGTCAATCAAGGCCTTCTGTTTCAGTGTTTCAAGCTTTTTTTTTTTTTTTTGAGGCAGGGTCTTGCTGTAGAGCCCAATCTGGCCTCAAACTAGCAATGATGCTCCTGCATCAGCCTCTCGAGTACTGGGATTATAAAATTGCACCACCACATCTGGCTTCTTCTTTTTTAAAAAATAAAACAAAATCTAAAAATCCTCATATTCTATTTTACTGGATATGGAAGACAGAAATTGATAATACTGAGCCTCCCTGAATGATTTGACACTAGAGATTGGAGCCTTGTTTATTGCCTCCCTCCCATTTGTTAAGAGACAAAATTACAATGAATTTAGTGCAAAGATCTTAACTACATTTTCTTCATGACTCCAGGTTAAGTGGTCTTCAAAACCAGAACTGATTCGAGGAACTCTCATGTTCAAAAAGCGCTCACGGTCGGGAACCAGAAGTAAGGTACGGAGGCAGCTGATTGGCCAGGGCTCTGCATTTTACTCTCCACATTTGAATATGGGTGGAGCAGCTGGCCACCTGTGTGGGTAATCGGACTGTCTCAAAGCTCAAGGGCATCTAAGGATCCCTGAGTATGTACCCCACTTGTGTAGTGTAAGCGCACTGTGGATACATTTATGTAACCATGGCAGCACAGGTAAACAGGTATGCGCTGGTCACGATACTATACAAGAATGTAAATAGGAGGTAACAACCTGTATGAGAAGTTTATATTAAGGTGCAGGTGGCTCTGGCTCTTTGCTCTGCTCCATGGTGCCTGCTGTTGTTGCTGATGTCTTGCATACATGTGTTCTTTAACTTTGGGAACTCACCTGTGAAAATCTCCCTTGGGCTGCTTGAGCAGGCTGACAACCTGCAACTGGCCAAAGCTCGGCTGCCATTGGTGGATGAAATTCAGTTATTTGTTACATAGGAGTTAGGCTTTAGTAGTCAGCTACTAAGTTGGGTTATAGTTCCTTTCATAAGGAATTCTACATGGAGGCATCTTCAGACCAAATTCAGTTGCATCCCAAAACCCTTATCATTTTTTCCATGGAATCCTGCAGCCTTATGGAAGATAATTTGGGGACACCTGTCATACTCCAGAACCTATTTTTAAAAATACAGTTGCTAAATGAGTAATTTAAGACTAGAATTTAAAAATGATCTCTTCCAAGTCTCCCAAAAAGAATTCCAAATAATTTGTGTAGATCCTACACTTTCAAGAGATGAGAAGTCTTTTCCACTGCCATAGTGAGGGCTGCACACAATGATTTCCTTCCAGTTGTACAGGATGGAGAGAGGAGACGCGTACCCTACAGTAGAGAAACCCGAGGAACAGTACCTCAGACAGGTGGTCCATTTCATCGTGATGGACAAGCCCTGTTGATTGTATGAACCCTGCATATAGTGTGACAGGAATAGTATTTTTTATTTTATCTCAAGCCTATAAGCATAGTGTAATCATTAAAAAAGATTGGACCAATCACAACAGAAGAGCTGTCTACAGCATGTCTGGTCAGTCTTTTTCAAATCTGTTAAAGTCATCAGAAGTAAGGGAAGTCTAGGAGACCAGTAGTCCCAAAGGAAGAATGACCTCTAAATGTGATCAGGTTTTCTGAATTAGATTCAGGAGCAAGAAAAGGCCTTTTAGGAGAAGGAAAAAAGCCTATTAAGCAATAACAAAGTTTGGACTTTAGTTAATAAGTATGCATTGATAACTGGTGTGTTAACTGTAATGAACATATCATATTAATGAAAGCTGTTATTTACAGGGGAAACTGGGTTTGGGATGGGTCTATGAATTCTTTGTAGTGTTACAGCGATTTTTCTAAAAATCCCAAATAATTCTACAATTAAGTGTTTATTTTTTTTTTAAAAATGGTTACTCCATTACATAATATTTTTTAGTATAAGAAAAGGGTTTTTAAAAATCCAGTCTAGTCTGTTCTGGTCATATGTGGAGCCTGAAGGGATTTCAAATACCATGACAAAGGTCTAGACATGAATTTATGTAACCCATACGTCACAGACTGGGGTACAGAATAAAGTCCTACCTTTTAAAGATGCACACGGAGGTCACCCCTTCTCCTTAGGCTAACTGGGTGATGGGGTTCTGTGACCTTGGCTCCAGCCTGGCTTGGTCTTCAAGAGTCAATAGGGGATGACCTAGAGCATCCTCACCTGGGCTGGGGAAGCCACAGCGGCCACCCTCCCAGGGCCCCTGCTCAGCTCAGCTCTGGGCTGGTGGGCTGGCACCTTCAGTTCCCAGCTGTCCAGGCTATGGACACAGAGCTCTTCCTCCTAGGTGTCTTCAGGGGTCAGGGTAGCCATGTGAAGTCCTTGAATTCAGAAGGAAAACAGTGTCCCTTCCCGTTCATTTCAAGCCTGTCCACTTCCTGCCCAGTATAAGTGATATTCTCTCCCCTTCCCCCAGGGACCCTTCTCACTTGATTTCCCAGCTATTTCTGTCAGCTGTGGGTGGAGAAAGCCAGTGTCACTGGGTGACCGTGTGACACATGGGGACATGTGGATCACTGGCTTGTGACCAAGGGTAGAGAGATGGGCTAGGCCACTCTTTGGTTCAGCCAGCTCCATGATGCTAAGTATCACATTTAATTTGCCTGGACCTCAGTCTTCTCACCTGTAAATTGGGGATAGGAGAGAAAACTAAAAGACAAGCCTAACGGTTCAATCAACGCATTCTTTCCTCTGCAGGAGCCAAAGCTGGAGGGGGCCAGTGATATTCCTAACTCGAGGGGTCCTCATCGCTGGGAAGCAGAGAGGAAAAAGCCTCGCTCTGACCCTGCTTTAACCCAAAGTCCCTGGGCTCTACACCCCTCCCCCGCGGCAGAGCGCATTCACTGGCTGGGGAGACTTCACGTTTTTGTTTTCAAAGTCCAAGTCCTTTCACGTTTCCTCTCCAAAGCGATGAAAAGGAATCCGGCTGCCAGGACGCATCACCAGGAAGATGAAAGCGGCTTTCCAGAGGCTCAATTCTTCCAGAAACAATCTTCCTCTCCCCTCCCCAACTTCCATTGCGCCCAAGTGTGTATTGTTTTTAAATGTCAAAGGAAAAGGAAAAGAAAGACGGAGAGAAAACCCTTTTTGCTTCTGAATGTCACATTCTGCTGAGGGGAGAAAAGCAAGAAAGAATGAGAGGCAGAATTAAAGAGATGCAGATTTTTTGTTTTGGCGGGGGCGCCTGGGGGAGGCCTCTCTTGCCCAGCTCTCTTCTTTCCCTGCCCGGGTCACATTGAAATGTCAAACACAGCAGTTTGCAGCTGAAAGCGTCCCCGGTGGGAATCGGTTGCCCTTCTCACCTGCGGGCCAGTGTCGCTCGCGTCTCCCCAGCTGTTTCCCCAGCAGATGTTGCTGGGGATGAAGGAAGCCAGGGGTGTGAAATGCTCTCCACCTGGGAGGGAGGAGGAGGCTCCCGGACACCCTGGGCCCCGCTTTCCCTCAAGGGCCTCCAACTCAGGTCTGCACAGAGAGAGGTCCTTCCCTGGGCCTTTTCATTTTCCTCCGGGGAAAGGAAGGTGCTCCCGGTCCTCAGAGCCCGTGACTGGGCCTGGCGTCCTTCTCCCCCAAGCGAGGTTTCTGTGCGGCCAGCCTGGAGGTCAAAGGCAGCAGAACAATCCCGCGCTTTAAAAAAGTGCAAATGGAGCTCAAAGCGTTTTTACAGGAGCCTTGGTTGGTGCAGGAGTGGGGAATGGGTGTTTTCTTAAATTGCTGGAGGTGAGGCTGGATTGGTCCAGCCTTACCTAAGGGCTTTTCAGCAATAGGTATCAACACCTTTAAATAGAGTACAAATGCTGGGCAATTCCACTTCTGGGAATTATGTTTCCTAAGAACATTACCAGGCCACAGTGTGAGGAGATATAACAGGTGTGCTTGCCCCAGAATGCTCACAATACAGCTAGCTTCAAATCATCCTAATTTTTCTCTCAGTAGAGGAGTTTTAAAAAATGATAGCATACCTCCTCCTGATGGAATAGTACAGAGTCACTGAAAATGGTAACATGGATTTATATTTGCAGATTTATATTTGCAGATGTGGAAAGATATTCACAAACATTAGGCAAACAGCAGGTTATAAAATACTATGAATAGTTCTTTCCTTCTTTTTCCTTTTCTGTTTTCCTTATGTTTCAGTAGAAACATGTATGGAAGGGTAGGTACTTGGGCGTTCATGTCTGGGTAGTAGAATTATGGATGCTGTCTACTTACAATGTTAGTGGTTTCTCACGTTTTGTCATTCCTGTTTTAACTAGACAGAAAGCTCAACAGCTGCTAATTTTTAAGTGCATAAACTAACTTTTGACTTAACTTTTTGTGTGTTTTGATTGCTCTCCTTCTCTCCTTTCTTCTTTCCTTTCTCTCCCCTGCCCTTTCTTGTGGTGGGGATTAAACACAGGTTCTCTTGCATGTGAGGCAAGCATTCTATCACGAAGCTACACCCTAGCCCCTATCTTTTCTTTATGTTGTACAATTACAAATTTCCCGGTGATTACAGTGTTCATTTCATAACCAGAACCAGAGAATGATTGTTTTTGGCACCTGAAAAACAAAACATCAAGTCCCTAATAGATTGCCAAATACCATGAAGTTTTGCAACTTTTGCTTTGGTCACATATTATTTAAACTTGGCCCTTGTAATAAAGAGTAACTGTCATCAAGTCTCTGTTTCGAGCTGGTCCGGTGTCGCCCATCTGCTTGACTTTCCAGAGGGCAGAGCTACTTTTCCATCCTACCAAGTTCCCCCAGCCTGCATGAGTTTTGTGCTGGTTTATTTTGTTTCATCACAGCTCTAACCCCACCCAGGGCAAGATGTGTAAAGTGATACATTGAAAAATTGATGTCCTGGACAGCCCAGCACATGTGGATATTGCTATCAAGTAGACTTGCCTCTAACATTGACAGGCTTCTGAAAGCCCCTAAGCTTCCTTTTCCTTGAATTGCTTCCAGAATCATTGCTGGAAATTTATGTGATTCTGTCTTTACAGTCAAAACTGAGTTCCTTTTCTTGCATGGTGAGGTAAGGCCTTGGCTGTGGATTTAGTATATGACAAAGGCCGCAGTCCCAACTCTCATCTGAGGATGACTGGTGTCTCTGGACAGCTTGCTGCAGGGTAAGCCCGCATTTCCAGTTAGTGCTCCAGTGGGAGTGGCTGGGGATGCAAAGGGAGGAGACTCAAACTAGTCAGGTAGGATGTGGCTGCCATATTGGAAAGCTGCAGGCAAGGCTTGAGTATGAAGATTTGATTCTTGAAGCGCATGTTCCTGTCAGCCTTTCTCATCCAGCAGTCTGAAGCCTAGTATTTGGTAACAGAGGAGAGGGAGAAGGTGGCAACAAGGCAGACTTTACTTGTGCTTATTGCTCATGGGCATGCTGCACTGCCCATGTGGTGGCAATTATTTGCACAGACCAGCGTGTATATGTGTCACTGTCTTCTGGCCATCTTTTCCTTGCTGGGAAATGTTCCCCAAGGGCTATGGAATGTTAACCAAGAAAACTCAGTCTTTTGCAAGGATTCTTGTAGCCACGACCTCTCAAGGTTCAAGGATGATTGAGGGTCAGTGGGTCTTGAGAGTATCTCCTCTCTCCTAGTCCTGAAGGCCGCCTGGTGACACAGATCGCCCAGTGTGGGAAGAGGGAGCTGCACAGAAAGACTGAGTGGCTGTTTCCCTGGGGAAAGAAAAGCTTTGGGGAAATAAAAGACAGCTGGGTAGGAAACAGCAAGACGCTTCCATGAACTCTTTCATTTGTTAACAGAGGCCATGCTAAGCAACAGCTAGGAGAAGTTTGGGCATCCGTGACTGGCCAGAGAATAATTCTTTGCTTTCCCTCATGAATAAGAACACTTTCTCTGGGACTGAGATGTATTCTAAAGTTTGTTCCTTATTCAGTCTTTCTTGGTTGTCTTTATTTCTTAGGTCTTTGCAATGCTAACTACCTAGGAAAAGTATAGGTTTGTGAAACCCAGCTTTAGTGGTCACAGGATACATACTTTTAGATATGTGTACTTCTTTGGCATTAAATTTCCTTCATCTTTGTAGTGGAGACTGTTAAAACAATTTTCAGGGGGTAAAACGACTCCAAAGGCTGGCGATGATGTAGTCCTGGGTTTCTGGTGTTGGCCAGCTTTCCGTCATTGTGACAAAATATCTGTGCATAACAATCTAAAGGAAGGAAGGAAGGTTTATTTTGCTCATGACTACATGAGTTTTGGTCCGTGATGAGCTGACTCTATTACTGTAAGGCCTTTGGTGAGGCAGAAATATTACAGTGGAAGGACATGGTGGAGGAAAGCCGCTCACTTCATGGCAGCCAGGAAGCCCAGAGAGCAGAAAGTGTCACACGGCAAACCTGGGGAGGAGACAGATGCTCTGAAGCCACACTCCTGGTGACCTGCTTCCTCTAGGCGGACCTTTCCTCCTGTAGCTGTCTCTTCCCAGTAAGCCCTCTAACAATGATCTTTTGATCATTGCATTTATCCTCTGATGAAGTCACAGCCCTCATGACTCAATCACCTTGCAAAAGCCTGGTGTCTGAGCACATGCAACATTTTAAATCTAAACCATAACACTACTCTAGCTTTATGGCATTTTTTTCTAGTGTGTCAAGCCAGATTGATGGTCTTGCTCTTTCCTCCATCGGGAGCTCTTTCATACCTCTTCCTCTCTGCCTGGTCCTTTCCTCTGCCTGAAATATCATTTCCTTCTGAGCCACTTTACAGCTTAGTGTATGTGACGCCTCACTTGTGAAGTCCGGTTGGCCTCTGAGTCTCTGCGTCTCTGTTTAATTTTCCTTGACAATTACCCCTCGCCTTCCTTAGACTGTGAACTTCTTGAGGACATAGAATAACTGCTGCTGAATAAATATACAGATTAAGTGCTGTATGAAAGGCAGCTTCTGTTCCATTTTCTTTTCTCTAAGTAGTCTGAAGAATCCTTGATTCCACAACTACAATGACTTGATTACACCGGAATAAAATAAGCCCATTGGGGTAGTGACTCTGCTATCCATTTCCTGCTTCTAGTGATCCCCCTGTGCCAGGGGTCTTCAAACTTGTTTAGGTGCTTAGAAGTTCCCATATTGTTTGAGAGGTTGTGGATAGCTTGTGACCTATTGATATTTTATTAGTGAAATATTTGTTGATATGAGTGCAATCACAAAGATGCATGTGTCCATTAAAAGCACACAAAAATCATATTCCCAAACCCAAGCTTTCAAATGAGTTATGCTTGTATTCTCTCAATTTTAAAAGTTAATATTTATTTGCTGTGCTTTGCTTATTTACTTAATACGTGAGTGCTCACAGGTAGAATAGCAATAGCGAGTGGTTAAGGGAACAAGTTAAAATCGAGGACTCTGTTCATTAGCCACTGCTGAATTCAGAGAGCTTCACTGATTTGTTTTGCAAAGTTTATTGGGTACTTGGGATATGCCAGACCTCCTGCAAGGATCGTGTGGCCCGTCTTAGTTGTCTTCACAATCACTCTGTGACTTGGATGTTTTCACTGATTTCATCATACAGATGACAAGAATGGAAGGCTCCCTGTTAAAGACTGAAATGTTTTCTTCACACAGTGAAACCTGGACTGTGATGGTAATAAAAAATAAAATCAGGTCAGGATTTTATTTAACAGATTAACTAATGAAGGGGCCACTAAGATGGTACGACCTGCTCGAAGGAGAATTCGAAGATCAGAACTCATGCAGGCAATCAAGAGTCACAGCACCGGGCAGGGTGGGGCATATCTGCATCTCCATGGATGGAAAGAACTTAGGTTTATAGATTTCCTACAATGCAGAATTGGAAACTAAGTAAATGCAAGGTGGTAGTAACCCAAGGCACACACTAGCCAGCACACCCAGGTATTTCTTTCCTACTTACTTCAAAGTTTTCCATGGTTTTTCATGGGATTGGAGGCTAGCACAAGGTCACATAGCTGGGATGTGAATTCCAGCAGTCTAGAGCCAGGGCCCGTAACAATTGCTCTTTTACTAGAAAAGATCTTTTCCTTTTGGACTTGTTAGTCCTCTTATTGTTTGATTTCTTGACATACACATCTTCCTTCCATATAGGAACACTGAACTGTATATGGTTTTGGTTTGAGAACTGAACTCTTATTTACTAAGTTCTCAATAGTTATCAGGTATTATATTAAATGCTTAAAATTTAAGCTCTCACTGTATGTTAATAGCCACCACTTACGGTGGTTATCAGTAACCCCCGCCACACAGGTGAGCACATAGGCTTAGAGACACTCAAGCTGCAAGGCTGCTGGCATGGGGCTGTGATTGGCACATGGTCCCTCCTGGGCAACACTGTGATTATCCAGTCCTGGGCCAGTCACTGTCTTAATCTGCATGATTCCAACTTTTGGAGGTTCTGTCCTTTGCTGTGGGGACCAGGTGTTGTGCTGACACCCTGGGGATGTGACAGCATTAAAAATAAGCAAGTTTTCCTCCTCTGGACTCAGTGGACCCCAGTCAGTGTGCATGTGGCAGCTCTGAAGTGACTTGGAACCTCCTGCAGGTTGCTGAGGCATGGTTCTCAGATTGCTCTGTCAAGATGGCCCGGATGTTTGCATAAACTGAGTTCTTGTCCACTGCCCTCCAGACTTACTGAGTCAGAAGCTCGGGGAAGGCAGGGCCAATCACACGTTTTCAAGATTCATCCTCGGGCATTTGGGGGACTGTGAGCGTGAAGTGAAGTTTGGACTATAAATTCAGACAGGCCTGGCGATGTAGCCCGGTCACACTGTGATATGGGGGCAACTTAGCTCAGCTCTGGAAGACCTGTTTTCCTCATTTGAAAAATGAGGATAATTATAGTTGCGAGGAGTGAATAAGATAATCCAGAGGAAGCACTTGGCATGCTGCCTGGCACCGGCTGCGTTCCCAGTAAATGTCAGCTATTCATGTATTCCGTTGACTCTAAGATGCTCTTTTTTTTTCTTTTCATATTAACATCTCTGAAATCAGTCTGCTTCTAAAAATTGATGGGGTGTCATGATCTCAAAGGGAGCATTTTTTTCTTCTTCTTAGTGGTTTCTAAAACAATAGTGCATTTCCTAACAGGTGGAGTCTAGACTTGGCAAGATATAGGTGTGTCAGGGACTGGGGCACAGAGCTGTTGATCATAAGACCTCTTTCAAGAGTGCTGGCAGAGGGCGAATCTAAAGTCTAAGGTGTGTCCCTCTTCCCAATGACTTCTGCACAGGCAGAAGTCTAAGAAAAGGAGGCTAAGCAAGGTGGCTGGGGGGTTCACCCTCTCTCCTGCCGGCTCCATGGTACCAGGCACCTGCTCAGCCTACCT